TCCCCCCCCATGCCAGCCACAGGCCAGCCTCTGTTCGGGGAGAGGGTTGGCAAATGCTGAAGCACTTGGACAAGTCCCTCCGACCCGGAGCTGGGGCTAAGGAGGAACTGGCGCCAGCCTCGTCCCAGCTCCCGGCACCGGTGTGTGGGGCGCGGGCGAGAGGGGCCCGACTGCCCCAGCCTGTTACTGCTGTAACAGCCTTAGGGGCTGCGCCTCGTCTCCTCCGGGAGCAGACAACCACCCCCTCTCCCCTAAACAAGAGTGGTTCACGCTGTCATTTTAGTCTCTAGATGATTTTTACTGTTAACCAAAAAGCTCTGTAAATTAACTCCAGGAACGTGTATATTTTGGCACCGTCGTCGCTCAGGACGAGGTTCAGGTTGGAGCTGGCTCAGGGAGACTTAACTCGTCCTCCTCGCCCTGCGGTGGCCGCGGGGACGCGGGTCAGGCGTGGAGAATTGCTGCTTTGTGGTGGTGGCTCCGGGTGCGGAGTCTGTGACTTTCTACTGAAAGCGCTTGTCTGTGAGCACAAACTACTCGTGAAATGACACTAGATTCTTACTTTATTCGGTGGGTTTGTAAATAAACTGCATCTTGGGAGAGTGCTGGGCTTTGCCTTGGGTTTTTTGATGGGGCCAGGATGAGATTTAATTCTTAATTTCTGCCAGGTGATGATTATGACACACACAGACACACACACAGACACACACACAGACACACAGACACACAGACACACAGACACACAGACACACAGACACACAGACACACAGACACACAGACACACAGACACACACACACACACTGTGTGGTTCTGAACAAGCCATCTGAGCTTGCTGTCTGTCTGTGAGCTCAACTGAAAACTGTGGCCAATACGGGATCTGCCTGGAAATCAGGTGCCGCATCAGAGCGCAGATTTGCTGGGCTGGGTGAATGGGTCGTGGCCCCTGGGGATGGGACGGGAGCCGTTCTCCTGCCAGCCCTGCTCGAAGCACAGCCCCTGAGGAGCAAGAACTACCCAAAATGAAGGGAGGGGGGGAGCCTGCAAGGGGAGGGCCCTTATAGCAAAGGGTGAGGGGCTGGTGGAAAACAGGGCTGGGGCGGCCCCAGCCGAGTGCTGCCTGCGCATTAACAAGCTGCTCCAGAAGAAAAAACCAGGTTGGCTTCTCGGCTGCAAAGTGGGGCGTAGCAGGGCACAGGCCCCGGGGAGGGGGGGGGAACCCTCTTCAGAAGCCCAAACTCATGGAAGCTGCAGCCTATTTACAGGGGTGAAAATCACTGGTTTTTCAGCCAGTGCCCCTCCAGGTCAGGGCTGGCTGAGGAAGGCTGCAGCCTCGCCCCGCTGCCCGGCACCTGGGGTCGGGCCCAGCCCGCGGGGCTGGGGAAGCCGTGACAGCTGCCCGTGCTTCTCCTACGGTCCGAGCTACTTGTGGCTGCAGGGTCGGTGATTTCCATACACAGAAGGGATCTCCCTGCAGCTGAGAAGGGCCGGGGCACCACCACTCAAGCTGGTTTGGTTTGGTTTTTTTTTTTTCTGGTTTGAGAAAGACCCAGAGGGATCACCCACCCTTAGCTGGAAAAGGCAGCGTGGCCCCAAGCCCTCCCGCCAGCAGAGCAGAGACGTTTTTTTGAGCACACGTGGCTGTTTGGAATTTTTTTAATAAAATGGATTTTTTTTTTTTCTTCAAATATTTGTAACTGAAAAAATAATTCAATTTAAAGATCCATTCTCTCCCCCGTTAACTCGTCACTTCTATCCTTTTCCAGTTGAATACTCGCTCTGGATCCGATGCCCCAACACCATCCGTCTGGGATGGGGCGGGCCACCCCTCGCCCTTTGCTGCATAGTGGGAGGGAGAGTGCGTGCTAGCAAATACACGTTACAAACAAGTAGTGGTTACAGCAGAAAGATTCAGGATTACATTCAAGGTAGAGGCAGAACATCAGACGTCGTTTTTCCCAACGGGTGCAAAAAAAAAAAATGTATGTCCAGGGGAATACCGCTTCCGACAAAGAACTATTGAACTATTATTCAAACAAATAATAGTAGGAAAGCAGAGGACTGGGCGAGCCTGCTCGGGCCACTGCGTGGGGAAAAGCCTTTCTAATATTTCCTGGGCTGAGGCACCATCTTCCCCGCTGCCCCCAGGCAGGGCATGAGCTGGCTTCCTCAGGAGGTGAGGCTCATGGTTCTGTCTCATCCGGGCTCCAATTTCAAGTACGCTGGGGCAAAGTGAGGGTAATTATTAAATCCCTACGAGGTGTCAGAAATGATGGTGGGTGGGTAAAGGTGAACGGGCGCAGCTGTGAGCGCAGCCTGGCACCAGCGCCCCGGGGAGGGCTGAATCAGCCACAGGCACCGGCCTCTCCCTGCCAACGTGCGAGGAGCCGTGGCTGGGTCAGGCTAGGGCTGCAGGTGCAGGGCTCCCACCGCCTTCTAGGAGCCCACTGCACTTCCATAATTTCATTCTTTATTTACTGGTTGCAGCTTTGTAATTATTTGTACAAAAGAAAGAAAGCTCACAGGACCCTCCTGTCACACCCCAGGTACTTTCCTCGGACGAAGCCGCTTGCCTCCTGTGCCCACCCAGACCCAGGGCTGGGCAGGTGCCCCGGGGGGAGCGGGGTGGGAGCGCTGTAAGGCAATTGCCAGCGCCGTGACTGCGCCAGGAGAGGTGAGGGAGAGCTCGGGGGGGTGGGTGAAGGGGGTTTCCACCAGTCCCAGTTTTATTCTGAATTTTTTTTTAAGACGTGACCCTGTAGCTTGGCCAACAGAAAGCAAGGGGGAAGGAAGGGGGACTCCTCTCACTCCAACCGGGACACTGAGGGCAGCAGGTAAGAGGCTCGGATTTGCTTACAGCTGGGAGAGGGGCGAGAAGGGGGCAGGCAGGCAGCTGCCAGCAGGCTCCCCCCACCCCACCAACGATTAAGAAAGGGGCTCCCCATGCAGTTAACGAGCAAGCAGGGCTCAGGCGGGCAGGCGTTCTTCCCAGCCGCACACCAGGCCCGACCCCACCGGGCTGCCAGGTTGGTGGCTGCCGGGGAGCGCGGCGTGGGGCTGGCGTTCGCCCTCCCCGCCATGGAGCGGGGGTCAGCGCCTCCGTCCCCGTGATGTCACAGCGGGGGCAGCCGCACGGGGCACAGCTCGGCCATGGCTCACCGGGCAAATACGGCACCAAGTTGTTAACTAACAAACACAGGAACTTAAACGTGGCAGGAGTCACAGCACGAGAGGGAGGGAGAGGCGCAGGCCGGGGTTTCCATGGCAAACCCCTGCACAAGGAATGGCATTGTCGCGGCTCGGGGGGCTCGGGGTACACGTCCGCCCCCTCCTCGGGCAGCAGCCACCCCGGGGCCTGGCTGGCAGGAGCGGCGGGACACAGGGCAGCAGCTCACAGTAGGCAGCCATTTGCCCCGCCGGCCTGAGGGAAGGCAGGGCCGAGGTCAGCTGCCCCTCACTTGCTTTCAGGCTCCCACTTCTCCCCCGAAAGAGGCCCTCACAGTCGCACTTCTGAGCTAGGACCGGCGTCGTGGCGCCCAACGCCCGGTTTGCAGTGCCGCTTCCCCTTCCCTGCCTGCTGGGTCCGACAGCCTGAGCTGCTCCCTTCCCCTGGGGCACCTGCTACAGGGAGGCAGCAGCACAGCTGAAGGCAGGAGAGAGATTGCACGTGGCCCCTAATGATATGTTGCTCGTCGCTAACTGTGCCACCAGGACACACGGATGCTTTCTTGTCCCTAACCCCCACCCAAGGGTGACTGCTTTGCTCACCTGGGGCTGTCACAAGCGCTGTGGAAGCTGGGGGCAAGGGGGGTGTGCCTGGAGGCAGACTGCAGGCACAGCCGCAGGTCTGGGGCAGCGAAGGACAGATTTAACAAGAGAAGGACCGGGATTTTAGCACCTTAAAAATCTGTTTTGCAGCCCAAAGTGAGTGAAACAAGCAGGCAGGCCTCTGCTAAGCTCAGCAATATTTGGGACGTTACCAGGTTGATGGGGAACCCTGGTTCCCTCTGGCTACACTTGGAAAAGGTGCCTGTTCTGCCCAGCTCCTCACAGCCCTGCGGCAGAGCAGCCCCTCCCCTGACAGGCAGGTGATGCAGAGGGCAGCCGCGCTCCCGCCTTTGCGTCCCGCTCCGGAGGTAGAATCCCCTTCTGCAACCATTAAACTGACCGTGCCGGGGCAGCACAACCCCCTTTATTTGCCAATCCCAGCAAGGCAGGGGGTGCTGCTTCTTTCTGAAAATGGCTCAGGCCCCGCCACGCGATGTCCTGCCGCAGGGCGTGAGGCAACGCGTGCCCGGCAGCGTTGTGCCCCACGCGCTGCCATCACTGCTCCCGCCTGAGGAAGAGGAGCTGCCAGCTCCCTTCTCACCCAAGCTGGGTCAGGCTGCGCTGAGGGGGCAGGAGGCCACCAGCCTCAGAGCTCCTGCAGCCTCTTCTTCCCACCAGCAGACGTTCTCCCTGCCCTGGCCTGTCCCGCTGCCCAGGCAGCAGTGACTCGAGCAGCGGCTCTGCCTTTGCCACCGCTGCCGGCTTCGTGCAGGAAGGACGCTGTTGGGGGAGGAGTACAAATACTAGGAGCTCGTTTCTTTTTTTTTTTTTTTTTTCCTTTTTTTTTGGTTGACTGGCCTCTTCCCCCTGCATGCCCGTGCCCTCCCGCTCTCATTCCCTTCAGTCTCTGCTCACAGAGTTACAAGCAAGAATCCCAGTGCAGCTGCAGATCGTGTCCATCAAGGAAGTCTGTGGAAAAGAGGCTGGGAGCTGCAGTGCTGAGGGGAGCCAGGCTCATGACGGGCCCCCCCGGCAGCTCCAGCCAGTCCATGCTGTCCAAGTTAGCCTCAGCCAGATCCAGGGCTATGCCCCCGGATGGCTCGTGAGCAAAGTGCAATTCCGAGGTGTCCATAGGTGAAGGCGGGTGGTCCAGGATGGCCGAGCTGCTCAGCATCTCACTGTGGAGGTCGTCAATCAGGGACAGGGGCTCCGGCCCATCGTGCCCTGCCGTCAGCAGCGGGAGGCCGGTGCTGCTCTCCAGGAAGTCCTCCAGCCGGCCCACGGGCACTGGCTGCCCCAAGGACACCGGCACCGCCAGCTCTGAGGAATGGTGGCTGCTGGGGGGTGAGGAGCAGGCTGGGGCCGCGGGTGGTTCCTTCCCAGCTGGGGACGACTGATCCTTGAAGTCAGCAGAAATCTCTGTACAGGGAACAACCGGGCAGGCCAGGGTGAGGAAAAGCTTGGCCAAACACTGGAAGGATCCCTCCCACCCACCAGGGCAACAGGGACCCCCTCAGACTGAGCCATCACTGAGCACCAACTGAGATAAGGAAGCTCATCCTGTGCCACGCTCGGCTTGCTATGGGGAATTTTCAGCCCACCTCTGGGGAATTCAAGCTCTGTCCAGCATCGCAGAAGAGGTGTGCCCAGAGCTGATGCAGCAGAGCCACCAAGCAGCTCTGTATCACTCCAATGCCTGACTGACATCTCCCTGACTCCACTGCAGGAGCAAAGTCTTGGGCCGTGACAGACTCTCCCCTCAGTGCTCTATAAACCCCAGCCTCAAACCCAAAGGCTATGGGAAGCGCTGGCTTTGTCTCCTTACCTCCGCTTTCGATGAGAATGTCAAACAGGTCATCCATCTGCTGGCTGGAACAGCCGTTCTCCTGGGGAGAGCGAGCGCAGGATTAGCTTCCTATTTACAAGGGGAGCTTCCACCTCCAGCAACACCCTTGGTTGCTGGCTCTCCTCCCTCGCCCCGGGGCCGGGGCTGTTATCTAGCAAGAACAAGCACACAGAGGCACAACACCAGAATTCTCCATAACCCCAGGCTGAGACTGGATGTGAAGGTATAGTCAGCAACTGCTGTACTAACACTCACCAGGCAATGAGCGGTTTGGGATCTCTACTTGCGGTTTAGGGCCTGCCCCAAACCCTCCAGAAGGAATTCAGCTGGGAAGGGGCAGTTAGTTAGAAAGGGGCATTGTGTCTCCATTCTCTATCACTGGCCCAGATCAGGGATCTAAGCAGATCTACAATGGCAACCTTTCCCCTGCTCTCCAAGGAAACCAGGGAGAAGAACTGCTCTCACCTGGGCCTTTGGCTGTTGCTTCACGGCCTCTTCATAGCCTGGTGGCTCTTTCATCGGGACCGAGGGAACAGGGAGAGGAGGTGGAGGAGTTCCAAAAAGCGACGTGTGCTGTTGTTGCTCCAGGTCCATCTGGGGTGGGGAAGGGGCAGCAGGAGAGCCGGGCTGCGATGAGGGCTGTTTAGAACAAAGGCAGGAGGGGTGATCAGGAGAAAGCCCTTAGCAGCTCCTGCCTCACAGCTGCTTTGAGAGACCATCACCCCCTCTCTTGGCAAGTGCTGCACAGAGGTCCGCACTGCTCTGCTCCCAGCAACCTGGCTTCTTACATGTACTCCGTGCACTACGCCCTGGCTGCAGGGGAGGAAGACAGATTTCCCCTGCAACTCACAGCTGGAAATCTTTTGCTTATTTTTCTAACACTAAAGCAACCAGGCCACAAACCACCACCAGGCTGCTCTTGGATGGGGAGAGACTCATCTGTCCAAGTAGGGGATTCCTCTAGCACTTTGGAGAGAGAGCGGGCACTTCCCTTGCTGTGGGCAGCCTACTCTGCGCGATATATTCAGGACCTATCTTTTACCCATCTCCCTCTACAGTGCCTGCTCTGGGGACGCAGTCAAGCTTCACTAGCAGCAAGTTTCACAGCCTGATGGTGGGTGGAGAGCACCAGAGACTCAGCAGCACCAGAGAGCTCCAAAGGAAACCCCAAGTGTTGCAGGAAGTGGTGGTCGTGACTCAGCTCTACCAGATGAATCAGCACACAACTGCCCATAAGAAAAGTTAAAACATGGATCAGGTCTTTGCTTCTACAGCAGTTACGTGTGATCCACGCTGAAGCTTGTTCCCCTGGAGCAGTGATCCCTAGGCAGCAGCTGAATGCCAGTTCCAACACTTCTACATGTTGATGCTCTTTTCCTATCCTGATTTCCCTGGAAAGCTGTTTGTCTGTTCTGTGACCTGCAGGTAGAGGAACGACCCCAGGCCCCAGCCAGCAGAGCTGTTCTGGGGTCCGCTCCCTTCCTGAGAGGGGCTGGAAGCTGGTGTTGTGGCACAGGCCACTGGGATGTGCTGGGAGGGTACCTTTTTTGAAACACTGGGTGGGCCAGCTTTGCCAGGAGCACCAATTTTCAGGGACCGTTTCTGGAAACCGTTGGGGAAGAAGGGCTGCAGATTTGGAGGTGCTGAGAAAGACAATATGGTGTGGGGCAGCTGCCCCGTGACCACATGCAGACCTGGCTTCTGACCCTACACAGGGAGGCAAAAGGATTAGGAAAGTCACTACAGATGCCTCCACAGCACACGAGCTACGGGAGTCTGAGGGAAAAAGCGCCCTCGTTTACCTTCTGCATTTCCTCAAAGGTCTCAAAGCAAATGAAGGCGCTGGCTGACCCTTTGCAAAGTGGTGTCTCACTCTGACTGCACTAGAAATTATTCCTCTCTTCATATCCTTTCCAGCATCTGATTCAGAAGTGATCCTCCAAGCTCTAAAAACCCTTCATAATCTTTCTGTATCTTATCTTAATTACATGTTAGAGAGAGAGCTAAGTCATCCCTGATGTGGGCTAGAAAGGGAGGAGATGCACAGCAGAGCCTCTTTACAGCTGTTACCTGGAGAAGGGGTAAAGCCCGAGGTGCTCTCTTTCCTGAGCCTGCACTGCACTTCCCAAAGATGATTAACAGGTACACTCAAGGCACAGGAATGGAAATCACAGCATGTTCATCAGTACCAGAGAGTAAAAGGTCACATCCTTTTGCCCCTCTCAGAGCTCATATGCCACCTTCAGCAGCAGACATACTGCCCACACCACCCTCTCTTCACGCAGTAGCCACCTTTTCAGTTCAGCAGCACTCCTTCAAGAATCAGGGACACCACCGTGAACCAAGGCTGCCCACTCTGGCCTCTCATAGTTTTTAAGTGACAGACAACAGTTGTTCAAAACACCAGCTGGTATTCTGCCCAGATGCGGAACCAAAGGGCAGAAGCCACTAAACTGTCAGGGTTTAGCCCAGAGCTCTTTGCTGTAAAGCCTCTGCATCACTTCCAAGCCTGCGGGACGACCTCATGAACACTTAGCGCTCCTGAAACTTCATGCCTGATGGGCTCCCCATCACATCTAGTTCGGCAGGAGGTAGGGGGATGGAGAGGCTATGCCAGGCACCCCTTCTGCTGCCACACCCAAGCTGAAAACCAAACACTCTGTGCAGCTGCAAGCTGTGGCAGAAGCCGCTGTGAGACCTCACTTGCTGCGATGACGGTCTCTGACCAGGATTGTGTGTGTGCGTCCCCTTCCCACCGCTGCTACAAACCCTGGCAGCAGGCAAAGAAAAACAAGGAAGAAAAGTGAGCAGGCAAGTGAGCTACCTTTCTGACAGATTGGTTTAGTCCTCTGGGCTGCTGCTTCTGCAGGGGCGGCTGCTGCTTCTGCTGCTGCGTGGGCTGCGGCTTCTGCTGCTGCGTGGGCTGCTGAGGGGTGCTTGCAGGTAGCTGACACGGCGGTTGGCTGGAAGTTTTAGCGGGCGATGATTGTACTCTCTGGAAATAAAAGGGTATCCATGAGAAGCTATTCCCCAGACACAACATGGAGCAAGGCTTGTGTTTCTTAAAGGATTTATGAAGTTTGTTTCTCCCCACTCTTCATTCTTTAGGAAATTCGGTCAATCGTTCTGTTTCACCAAGCAGAGAAATCAGATTGGGGTGGGATTCAGAGTCCTAAAAGAGGAGGAAGTACTACTCTAAATCCTTGGGCTATCCATGACATCCCTCAAGGGCTGGCAAACCTGACACAGGACCTGAGCCTTTCTGCAGCAGCAGCTGAAGTTCAGGTGAGATGCCCTGGGGTATCAAGGGTGACACCGGACACTGATATTTAGACAACAGACTTGCATCTCATCTGCTACGCAGCAAATGCAGCCTGCTCAGTGCCTGCCCCTGATGGTAGACACTGCCACTTGCTCTGCAGAAGGTGCAAGAAATGTGGCAGCAGAGAATCTTCTCTGATGCCACAGAAGATGCTGGGGTTTGACTTATGCCATAAAACCTGGACATATTTATCCCTTCCTGGAAGAAATGCTCGGAACACTTCTGTTAAGTGCTGAGCTCATACCAACAGGGGAATAGATCATCTCTGATGAAAGACTCTGTTAACACTGAAATACTGACATGCATTAAAACAAAGAGCAGTTGAAACGCAAGAAGTCTGCTCCCAGGGTCTGATTTCAGCTCTCGGTGGACAAGGTGACCTATCTATCACTCCGACTACAATCTCTCTAATAAAGGACAAGAGGTGGAATACACCCTGCTTTTTTTAATACCACAGGCATAGTTGTTCTTCCAAAAAGTAGTGAAATGTGGCAGCAAAGCCTTGTCCTCCAAGCCTGAGATCCTGGCTGACAAAAGGCAGAAGCATGTCTTTGGAAGAATGCCGAACAGCCTGTGATGCCCGCAGTCAATCGTGCATTGCTGCACACAGTTCATCATTGTCGAACTCCGGTCTTTTTGCTGAAGATCTGCTTACACTGCTCTGTTTTACAAAGCCACGAACCACCAGCCATCGCAGCAAGCAACTCAGCCATTTTAGTATTTACTGCATTAAATTTCCACCGCGTTAAGTCATGCTATGGTAACCTGAACCACAGGAGCGGGAAGAGGGAGAGAGGAAACCAACTGCCTGCAGCAGGGATGTGATCCAACCCTTGCCTACCTGCAAGGCCGGGCAGCTACTCCCTGCCTTCCCATGGGGCAAGAAGGGGTGCCCTTGATGAGCTCACTCAGGGCGCTCCCTTGCTGGCCAAGGAAAAGCCGCGGGCTGTGGGACTGGCACGGCGGCTCTGCTTCTGCGGCTGGCACCTCCTGCTTCACCATCACGGCTTTCTTTGGCACTGGGCTTGGATTCGAAGTGTCCATTTGGCTAGCGGTTGGTGCAGGGCTGAATTGGTCTGTTTGGCCACTGGATTGCTTTGCAGACTGGCAACTCAGGAAACCGTTTTCACTCTTGACCTGGGTGCCAAATGCTACTGGGTTGGAGGCAAGGGCTGTTCCTTCTCCCGCAGCCACTGGGGCCGGTAGTGACTGCTGAGAGCGCTTCTCCTGCTCTAGCTGTAGTCGAAGCATCTCAACCAGCTGCTGCTTCTGCTTCAGCATGCGGGTGAGTTCCTCGATCTGCTTGTCCTTCTCCTGCAGCATCTGGTCTTTGTCCCTAACTTCTGCATCTCTGCTGTTACCAGTGCTGCACCGCTCCGACCTGGGTGCCGCATTTACACTGCAGGAGGCAGACTTGGAGCTTTCTTCCTTCACCAGGAACTGCACTGGAGATGCCTGCAAGGTGAGCTGGGTCAGGGGTGAAGTCACCATCTCTCCAAAGGTGTCTCCAGTGGCCGAATTCTCATCCCCTGTGCTCATTTGCGAGCGCTCAGAAGGAGTTGGGGAAACAGGAGGAGTCGAGCCTGTGCTGCCAAACTTCATCATGCCACCACCGGTGACTGTGGCCACAACTACTTCTGCTGGTGCAATGCCAGTGGTGACCAGCGCTGGCCCTGTGCTCAGCCTGGCAGCTGGGAAGGCTACCACCACTTCGGCAGCTTTTGGGAGGATGGCTGCTGTGCTGGGCTTGGGAGTGGGGGTTGTTTGGCCAGCTGCACCGTTCTGTTCTTGGTAAGCTCTGAGACGCTCAATCAGGTCCGTCTTTGTGCCCGACACAGGCAAGGCCCTCAACTTCAGCTCTTGCTTCAGCTCTGCCACCTGATATAGAGAAAAAAAAAAGGGCAACAATAAGAGAACATATGCTCTAACCAGAACAACTGTTAACACCTGCCAGAGCCATGGGGCAAAGGACTAAAATGACCCTCCTGCAGGCCAACAAACCTGCACCTCAGGTACAGTCTGCAGGGCGGCAATGCCAGCTGCTACCACCAACCCCTGTCAGACCAACTCAGCCCTGCTCTGCAGCAGCAACATCGTTCAATACTGATGTCTCCACTGACAATGGGAAAAAAAAAGGGCTGTGCAGCTTCACAGGACATTTACCTTCATCTCGTCTAGGTTGGCAGGGAGGGGGCCAGGCTTGCCCACTGCAGCATTACTATTTTGTCGCATCAGCCCACTGGAACCAGAGGATACTGAAGATGCGCTGCTGACTGTGGCAGAGAGATTGCGTACAGCAGGGGCACTGGCACCACTCTGCTGCTCTCCTGGAGGCCTGCAGGGAAAGAAAAAACACAGATATCAAAACCAAGGTGGAAAGGCACCAGAGGCCCTCAGCGTCAACAATCATATGCATTCAGAAACATCTGGGTCACTAGTGCCACCCTAGACATTAAAGAACACCAGTGCCTTTGACTATATCCGTGCCCCTTACCTGGCCAACCAACTCACTTCAGCTGCTTTTGTCTGATTCATCTGACACTGGCCCTTTTTGTGGCCTGCTGTAACTTAACGAGATTGAGTGCGTTACACCCAACCGCCACACCTCACACCCAGAACACAATGTCTCTGATTAACAGAACTGGGGAAGCAAGTGCTTCCTAAGAGAGAGCTGCCATTTTAGGACCCATACTTTGGTGGAGCTGGCAGGATGGTCTGATAGTTGTAGTGCTGCTGCTGCTGCTGGTTGAGGATCTGAAGCTGGAGAAAGAGCTGCTGCTGCTGCAATATTTTGGCATAGGATGAATCCATGGGAGGAGCTCCCTTGTCCTGCTTTTGGTCCGGGGGAATATACTGATGATATTTAAGCTTCTTGACTTTCGGCTTCAACTCCTTGGCTTTTTTACTGCGCTGAGACTTCTCACTAGCAGACTTGGGCTGGCTTTGCTATTTAGAGGAAAAGGAGGAAGCAAGTAAGAATGGAAACACTGAAATAACATAACTCCCCATGTAAATTAGAACGCACACTGGGATTTTAATTTCAAAATTCTCCCAATTTGACCTCAGGGTCTTTCCATGCTTCTCTAACTCAGTCACCGCACTTGCAGCAGCTTACACTGCACCCTAACGCAGGTCATCTTTCCCAGCACACCAGATCACTTGCTCATCCAGTGCAGACTCATTGACTCTAATTATGGATAATGCTGACCGTTTCAAAACATTTTGCATACATGACCCATATTACAGAAGGTGAATACGTCATGGAATAGAAAAACCTATTAAATATGTTACAACTAGTGTCAGAGGAAGACAATAGTGAGAAATAAGCTTTCCTTCCTTTGCATCTGTTAACACAATACTTCCTACTCCAAACCTTCTTCAGAGCAACCATCTTATCTTCCTTCAGACTACAATGAAGGAATCAGCCAAAATAGTACCTTAATGAGTGTTGGTGGGGGCTTGGCAGCAGTAAGAGCTGCTCCATTGGTAAGACTAGGTGGCAGAAGAGGTGGAGGCGGCAGAGGCGGGGGTGGCTGTTCAGGTAGGAAAAGTGTTTCACTGGAGTCTGTGCTAATCTGCAATTGTGATGTACCCTGCAGGGACAGAAAAAGGCATCATGAGTACACATATGAGGAGAGAAAGAGTTTAAAAGAGTGCAGGAAGTGTCCACAGGTTTCAAGTCATTAATTAGATTCCTTTAACCCACTGCTTCACTTGTCCCTGAGAAGCAGCACAACTTCTTAGGGCAGAAAAGGAATCAAAATCCCACACCTGTATCTCCCAGCTTTGCCTGCCAGAATCAGTCGCACGCCAACACAGGCTGTATCACCAAGTAATGATTGCCCCCCTTCCCCACATGGCACCATTACGGGGGTTTCCGAATAACCAGAGGACTTCACCCACACCACGCAAAGCTAAGACCCCTTGTGAAATTTCACAGACTATACCTTTTAAGGATCCCTCCGTCTCACTTTTTAGGATCCTCTGCCACAAATCACCAGTAGCTGTGAAGCTCCAGGGCACTGCAGGAGGCCACTGCATTCTCACCTGAGCTAGTGATGTGCCAGTGGTGCTAGGGAGGGGCTCACAAATCCGGGAGTCCATCGGCGATGGGACAGAACCCTGGGACTCATGGCTGGCTGGCTGTTCTGGGGAGAGGGCATCACTGCTGTCCTCGTCAAAGGAGGAATTGTCTGCAACCTTTGGGTAGTTCACCTGCCCAACTAGAAACACAAACATCAGCTGTGGTCTTTAAAGCGGAATAAGAAATTATTTCACTCGACACTAGATGTTTCACAAAAATAATGAAGGCATAGAGAGAGTTGTGTCTGAGTTGTGCTTAACACACCAACTAAAAATGAGACAATAGAGCCCAAACTGGATCAGTTTACAGTGTTTACATACATCTCTGCTATCAGTAGAACAGAATGATGCAGACTGAGGTGAACCATTTCCCTTGCTTCTTAGCCAGACAAGATCAGGAAGTGTAACAAGAGCTACTTAACTCTGCCCAAACCCAGATCTGTAGCATGGCTTATTTGATTATCATTTGGCACCAAAGAAGAAGAAAGTTAGACATTGTAAGGTTGAGTCATGGTTTCTTTGGTGATCATCATATGTGGTGGAAGGTAGAAGCCCTCTTCAAGACAGAATCCCAAATTGTCCTCTAGTCTTAAAAGCAACAAGGGCTATGGATTAAGTGGCGGCCCGGACTGCTATTAGCATTTCTGTCTACTTACATGTCCGGTAAATTCCAATAAATTCACGAGTGTACATTCGTCATGAACTAACTTTTTTTAGATTACATTATCTGAAATTAATCCTGGTAAGCAGGAAAATACCATCATTTGTACCTAACATAAAAGCAACAGAAATCCAGAGAGATGTCAAAGTCAGAAGGAAGCCACATCTCTAATGCTCCAATTCACAAGTTCACTTTTTCTCTTCCTCAACCACTTCTTGTGCAATAGTGGAGGCAGGCTTTCCCACAACACTGCCCTTTTCCTTTTTCATTAAAAGTAAACCGTCTTCCTCACAGTTGCGTCCCATTTGTCTTTAAAGTAGCTGTGTGTGTTTGAGGGGATGAATAACCACAGGCGCACACAGACTGCTCAGTCTGAGGAGACGGGGAAGAGCACTGCTGAGGCAGTGGGAAGGCTATTCCTCGGCA